TCTCACCCGCGGATGATCTATCCCCAAACCATGCATTTTCACCGCATACTCGTCTTGGCGTTTCAGCGATCTACGATCATGACCGATTGCTCTCAAATGAGTTGATGGTAAAGTTTTCGAGTTTGCTTTTTCTAATGGCAATAACCATATCCTTAGCTTCATTGAAACACTGCGTCGACTCTTTCATGCGCATTGGTGTTTGTTTAGGTGCTCCTCGTGCTCCTTATTGGGGTTCACGAGGTGCACCTTAAATTTAGGAGCATAAGGAGCATAAGGTGCAACTGTAGTGAAAGCACCTCGCGTAAGGTGTAAGGCTCCTTGCCCCTTGCTCCTAAATCCAAGGTGCACCTTGAGGAGCGTTTCTTGTGAAATAGGCCCAAATCGCTTCTTCTTTCGAGGACGTCCTAAATATCCTGGTTGGTAGAAATCTTCTTCGAGTTGAACTCGATGTGAGCTTGATATACAATTGACCACATCATCCTCCTTCTTGTAATCGGTGAAGTCTTCTCGTAGGTCACCATCATATCCAAGGGTGGATGCCGAGTCAGCTGATCACTGGGGTTCTCCTTGCCATCGATATGCTTAACCTGCCACTTACAACCAATAGCGGTAAGTAACTCTCTGATGATAACATATTCTCGATGTATAAGTTCGACATGGTTACGGCTCGCTGCTGGGATAGATTTTACACGCTCGTTCTTAATGACATTATATAACACCTTGGAGTCGGTGTAGAACTGTATAGGGCCAATATTCTTCTTGGTGAGCGTCTGGAGTCGACTGATATAACTAACTGGAGATCGTAGAGCAACCAGTTCCTTGTACGTAATGTTCAGTGAGGCCCGATCGAAGGGTAGGATCTCGTTATCTTGGTGAATAAGATTATCATTTTGATAGATCATGTAGCCAATAGCATTCTTGGAGCTATTTACGTAGATGGTGAACTTCTCCTGGGGTTTGATGTACACGGAGACCATAAGTGGCTCGAAGGTAATCGATGCTCTTATCCATTCTTTTGCTATTTCATGAAGTCCCTCTTTCAGATTATCGTACCACTCGTCACCATTCTGATTCCGTTCACGGCTGGCTATAGATTGGAACTTGTAGCAGAGGGATTTTAACCAAGGACTATATACAACCGAGTATTTGGGGATCGAGCCAAGCAGGGAGTGGAGATTTTGATAGGTAATACTGGACTCGTTGAGGAACGCCTGCAGCTTCTGCTTCCATTCCGTATCTTTGGTACGACTAAATCTTATATACTTAGTCTTGTGCTTGTTCACAATGATCACTCCGAGTATGTCAGTAGCAGGCTCTATGTCAATGTTGATTACCTTCCGAGGGGATATAAGAAAATCACACTGTCGTAGAATATCATTCACTCTAGCCAGGTCGTCAATAGCGTTCTTGTAGCTTCCAACCAGAATATATTTTTTACACAGTATTGGCTGTCTCATAGGTACCAACCTAATACAATACCGGACCGACGTCTCCAGACACCAGGGAGCAACATTAACACCAGAACGAAGATTCAAGAATCTCATAGTACAATAAGAACCGTCAGGTAATAGTACTCGGGTATCAGTCAGCGATGAGAAATATTTACCCAGACGTATACATGTAAAGGCATGACATATATCTAAGGCCGCGTGGGAAGGGTAAGCTCGTGCTTCTAATAACAAATCAGGGAGGTATCTGGGATTGCTTAAACGCTATATCACCACAGCGTTCGTGTAGGTGCTGGTTTACATAGATGGACGTGAGGACAACTCTGGGTCGCTTACCATGAACGACATAGTAATTCTGGACACTGTATCATCTTTGTGTGTAGACGACCACATCTCTTATACTCGGCAATGAACCATTGCCGATGACCATTTAGACCATTTGCAATGAACATTTAGTATGCGTCGTAGTATCATAAGTAAGATATAAAGCGATCCAACTAAGGTGTTGGACTGTATCAAGTATCTTCAGATTTGATGGCAGTGTCTCATTCGTTGTTGCTTGCTCAGGTCGTCGTTGTACCAACGCATTAGTCACAGCTTCTTGGGGGCATCGTGGTTGACCAACTTGTCGCTGGGGAGAATGGAGTCGAACCGATGCAGTATGACCGAAAGGACTAAGGGATATACGAGGCGGATTAGTCGGCTGATCAATAGAAATACCTAGACGTCGTTGGAGTGCTCGTCCTGCGATGATTGGCTCTATAATATGCTTTGCTATAACGAATGAATAATTGATGGTACAATTGATAGATGGTATATTCAATGGTGATATTACACTTCCATAATTCGGTAGCGAATCGTCATCGGCAGTATATAAGTTAGGAGAATAGTCAGTATATATCAACTCATCATAGCGACTCAACTTTTGTACCACAACATGATCGAGAAGTGAGTGTTCGCTACCAGTATCGATCAATAGTTAATAATTGAGAGAAAAGATTGAAATAGGATAGGTTAACCGCGTCGAGAAGTCAGATAAGGATACACACTCATCACTCTTTACTGTAGATGGGACTGGATCATGCGGTCTGAGCCGGCCCCATTGCCGTTTCCCGACAGATCGGCTCGCATAGTATCAATATATTTTTTCGACGATCAGGTTTGAAACCTTTACCACTGAAGCGGTTACCACCTCAACGTTCGGCCTGATCTCTCAGGCGTTTCCTACACTGACGCCATAGATGGCCAGCAATACCACAGTAGTCACAGACAGGACGGTAATAACCATTGCTGGGGTAGGATCTAGAAGAGCGCGTACTACGGGAACCAAACCTCTGTCCACGGCGAGACCAATCATAGTTACCGCGATCTTTTCCTCGACGAGAGATGTTATTAACTAGCCAATGCTGTTCTTGTCGTATAGCCTCTGTCAGATCTGCGATCGCAGCAACAGCTGGATCTGGATCGGTGGCCTCACCAATTTTCACAGAAGGTAGTTGTTGAGGCTCGACTTCTGGGGCTGCAGTTGTTGAACTTGTAGATACCGTTTAAGGGGTCATCGGTTTCTTCTTAGTGTCAGGCTGAATAGCTGGTAGTCTCTTTGCCATACGAAGTGCTTGCTGCAAATTCTTAATAGTCTCTCTGGCTTTTCGTAGATCAAGTTGTAAACCAGCTGGTAACGATGCAATAAACTTGGCCACAAGTAAGGCATCTCTTGCTTCTCCCTCCAAAAAGAGTCCGCTATTATCTAGAAGCTCGGTCAAACGGTAAGCATAGTCAAGGGTCTCAGTAGGAGAGTAAGTGGCGTTAGAGAAGTCGTCGAAGGCGGTGCTCTCTTCAGGCGCCAGCTCCTTCTCTAGGCTCGATCGAGCAGTGCCCAAGGTCTTCCGCTTCTCAAATGGTATCCGTGAGAATGTAACAGAGCAACCTTCTCAAGTGACGTGGGAAGCTTCTTCAAGGCCACGTCATCTCCCCATTCATTAGCTTACTGGCATTATCGGAACCTTAGTTTCCACTCACGGGAACTTACGTCAACAGTGTACGGTTTGGGAAGAGCAGTATATCGTGTCGTCGAATGAGATGTCGTCACACCAGTAAATGTTGTACTTTGAGCTTCTGCATGTTTATCGTCACTCGTCATGATGTCCAGACCGATGTAGAGGAGTTGTTACCACTTGTGGAACACAACACCCTAGATATAGGGTGAGTTAACTTAGTACATACAGATCAATGGACTAGCCCTAAGCTACGGGCTGAGCTACGGGGACAGCTATATCACAGTATCCTCCACACGTTCGTAAATTTCAAATATGCTAAGGAGATGATCCTTCGCACGCCCTACAAGACGCACGGGCCAGCCCAAATCCCAACAACAAGCTCGAGACGCCAATTCTCTAGTTTGGCCTCTCGAGACTTTTTTTAACTTGGACATCCCGTTGATTCGGATCTACCGGGTCCCAGACTGCGACGGGGTCATTATTTCTCTCCTTGCCTTCTTTGTTCGGTTGGTTCCTTCCCTTTACTCCTTCCCTGCTCCACCTTTTACTCCTAGGGTTGTAGTATTCGCGTGATTCGAGATAGCGTTGCGTCAACTAGACAATTGATTAAATAGTTGAGCAGTGGATCTGAAGTCTCCCCGTGAGGGTGGATCGCGAAAGCGGCAAGCGCCTTTCAAGTTGCCTTCAGGGTCCGAAGAATCTTTTTTTCGTCTGAGAAAAGCCTCCTCCCATATCTCGATGGACAAAATCACGTGTCGAGCTCACCGAGGCCAAGTTTGGCCCAACGAGAGTGCACTGCAAAAGCGGAGCGCCGCTCTTCAAGTCCCACTTTGGCGAGCATCGCAGAAACATTCCATGTTTCATCACTCAGCGATTGGCAGGGAAAATAAAACTCGAGCGACTGATGCACTTGGCCCCGCTTCAGTTTTGTTTCACTCCTTCTATTTCCGTGCCTATGGTAAGGAAGCGATGCCGTAAGACAAAAGCTTGCTATCGCCGCTACAGAGCTCGTAAGTCGGAGGCGGGCTTGCGTTGAAAAAACTCACGGGTTGCGCTAAGACTCGACGCGAAGCCGCTTCTCCGTAGCGATAAACTTGATGGGTCAGCTCAAAGCTGCACTCAACCGTACGCACCCTTGTTAGAAGGGCCTAATCCTCTCGGTCGGTGGTTCTCAAATCAGCCATCGAAGCCATACTCTCTTCGACTTCCGATGAGACCATCCATCGCCGGGACACGCCAAACACATCTCGCAAAGCTCCACACATCTGTAATTATAACGCGAGCACAGTATTAGCTTCTCTGGACGGCTTGTCATATATCAGTGTGGCGTCGTGTGGCGCTGAGTGAACTAAATTGTCTTTCTAGTGCTGGGTGTTGATTACTTTCTTTGTAATTGCAACTAATAGCACCTGTTAGCACTTGCAAGGGCTTTGTAATAGCACTTGTTAGTATTGTTAGCATCCTCCTTAAGTATGTGTATCTATGTCGAACCAGAACAGCGTTCTCGACGAAGTAAGTGATCGCAGCATCCCGGTGTCGCGAAGATCCCCAGCAACCTGAACTTGAACATTCTGGAGGAACTCGAAGAGTTGACGGAATATCCGGATAGGGCTCTCGAAGAGGTGCGGACCGGTGGTCGGTCCGATATTATTGGCCCCCGGAGACCTAGATATATACCACCGTCCCATCCTCTCAAGGATTCGAACGGCGTAGAAAAGGTGATCTCCCTCGCTGAGCTGCGCAGCAGAGCAAGGACTGCCCGAGTCAATATCATCAATTTTATTTGCGTGAAAAGCTTCAACTCGAAATTTTTGGTACCCGACAAGAAAGATCACTTGGAGAGTCTCCTATTGCTCGCCGCTATCAAGTCGTCCGCCGAAGACCCGATGATAGTCAGGCAATCCGCTGTTTATCAAAGCGACAAGGCTCGCCTCCGCGAGGGTTGCAAACGGAGTCACACCCTCCTTGTGCCAAGCTGCTTCGTGCAACCTGTGATGCTATCTGGTCACCAGTTTGAACAGGGTTGCCGATGACTGCGATGTACAGGTCTTCCATGGTGATCACAAGATTGCCTATAGGCAAGTACCGACCCATCTGGATCACGCTCACAGGGGTTTTAGAGAGTTCCGTCGGAATCCTTTGTAGGGTTCTTAGAATCGATTTACGGATCGTTTTCGAGGATTCTATTCCAAAATATTTCGGAACGTACACCGGAGTTGATTTCAAACGAGTTCAACGAATCGCACTCCCAGGATTTAGACCGTGCACCTTTTGGCTCCACCCACAGCGCACCTTAGCGTAGCTGGCTGATTACCAACATGGTTGTTAACACAAGAACCGGGCATTTCTCCAGATTTCTGTCTGGTTAAGTTATCCTTGAGGATATAAGGGTCGACTAATCAATAAGGGAAGGAAGAGAATAATCCAACTTGAGTTAGATGGGTACAGTCGTCTTACAAGCACTATGTCCAACGTGCCTCAGAAGCTTGTGCTTACTAAACCAACGTATGTCTACGGGAACGTATGTCTAAGTGATGCAAGGCAATATGATCACAGAACTGCAAAAAAAGAACGAATTCGACGCCTAGCCGTTTCAGCCGTCTCAACAAGACAACATAGAACAGCACTCTGAACTTTCTGTTGCTATCGATTCGGTGCGCACGATTCCAGCAGCGAAAGAGTGGATAATTCCTATCATCGTGTGTTGAGTATCCTTAGGCTATAGCTAAGCCGTGTAGCTTCGTCCGCTAGCTGGTAGCATAGGTTTGATTATAGATAAGTACACACCTCTCTCACGTGTTGAGTTTCATGTCTATCAACTCCTATGAGTGGCATAACATGGTGGCATATCCTCGTTGGATCTTCGAAATGCTACCCAACAACGCTGGGTGATACAAGACGCGCTTCAGGTTGCTATAGGTGTTGACTCTATTCCTCTTCCTGATCATCAAGCGACTTATCGACAGATCGTCTGTCACTATTGTATGGACTGCAATCCTACTCCTTCCGGAGTATTCCAAC